AAGAAAAACCCTAATACAAAGTAAATACCCAAAATACCCTAGTGTGAAATTTCGCCTGTTGTGGCTGGGTGTTCAGTATAGTCAGGCTCCACACAACTCAACAATTGTTACATCATTATTGGCTGCCTCATCACTTGTAACATATATTATTACACTACCATTGCCGTCATCAATGGACAACTATTGCCACGATGTGCCATCATCATTATTGCAATAACCACCACCACAATCAACGACTATTCCTAAACATTAGCACCACCTCCATAACTGCCATCAATGCAACTCCAACCCAAATTCAATTAAAAAAAAATCTTAAAATAAAACACGCTTCAGAGGAGTCTTGTTGCTTCGCAGATGTAGCCCTAATAAAACCCTTGAATCGAAACCAAATTGGGAATAGGTTTTGACATAAATTATCATCAAGAATGAGATATATTGATTAATATGAAGTCGAAGATAAAAAAAAATTGACGAAATAAAAAAGATATGGACATGAGTGTTATAGTAAGAAAAAATGAGGATCTTAAATGCAATTTAAATGTAGTGCAAATAATAAAAAGTATGGTGTGAATTTCCCATTTTTCAATATGACCACGAAGTTCCAATCAATTTTTCTTGCACTTCTCATATTGTATGTTTGTCAAAAAATTTAATTGCTCGTAAGTAGTGAGCCTCAAAAAATGTGTATTTAAAATTAAGTAAAAGTTTTAAATTCTACAAAATGTGTTGATAAAATAAAGTTTTAAAAAATTACAAGCAATTATAATTTTTGACAAATAAAAAAAATAGATAATATCCTCTAAAACTAATTAAAATCCTAACTCCCGTATTAATTATGTTCGAAAAACCACCGAAACCAGAAATCCCTAAACTCCCACCACGGATCTCCATTTTGGTTCCCACAATCAAGAATTGGTTGCTGTCCATGACGAAGAACGAGGATTGTCATCAAAGCCGAGGGAGTAGTTTCAAATTCCTACTATAGCAAGTGGCGAGGATGCACAAAGGTCTTATAAATGGATGCATTGGCAAGAATTCTATACAGAGGAAGGATATCCATATGGTGAGAATTGCACTTTCCTTCATGATGAGCATTCTAGAGCCTGAGAAAGTATGACAATAAGTTTCGGAGGTGGTGGTTGTGAGGGCTGTGACAGTGGTGGATCAAATTTGAAGCCCTCAAACGGGAAAACAAGGATTTGTTACAAATGGAAGCTAACGGGGCAAGTGTTATTTTGTAACACAGTAGGCACTCCCATAATTCGATGTTTGGAGTCGGTATGAGCTTGTTCAGAGAAAAAATCTTGGGTATTTTAGAATATGGTGGAATTACAAATAAGAGGCCTTCAAAATTGTTTAATGATGAACTCCTGCAAATGTTGTGTTTATTCAATCAATCTGAGATATATTTTCTTGATAAGACAAAGCCTGAGGATGAAAGTAATGTTGCTTACGACAACCTGTTTGTAACAAAAGTTCTCTTTAAGCTTTCATTGGTGGTTATGTTTTTCCATTTTGATCAAATCATATTTGTCATTGCTGCAGATCCTGCTCATAAAGCCATATAAAATGTTCTTGTGCAGTAAAAGAATACTTCTTCACCAGTGATTCAATCTACTGTAATCATTATGTGGAAATTAAGGGTAGAATAGATTTAGGAGGTGTATGAGCGCACTTAAAATGGGAAAAATTACCGTTGATAATGAGAAAAATGGACCGTTGCTTTTCACTAACTTTGCAGGAACTCTGACATGGC